GTTGAGCCGATACATGGGCTTCCAATCCTCGAATACAGTGTTGTTGGGGATTCAGCAAGCAGAGCTGTCCCTGAGCCATGTGCAAGGCATTCAATGTCCCCTTGCTGTCTCGTTTGAAGTCGCAATAGTCCTTGGTCTCGTACCATGTCTGCTTGAGCTCACTCTCGAGCACATGACGAAAGAGGACCGTGTTTCGGTTCTCGGCGATACGGACACTCTTCTTGGGCTTGGCGGAAGTACTGCTGCTGTTGGAGGGAATCCCACGCTTCTTGAGACCGTCCACTCGGATCTTGAACGCTGGCTTTCGCTTGCAAAACACGGAGGAAGCTCCCGATGCCTTGCCGTTGAGATTCTGATTGTGGTTGGATCCGCCCATGGTTGAAAGCTTCTTCTTTAGGATAAGAATGAGGTTGGTTTCTTTTCTTGTGTGCGATGTTATTTGAGTTTTATACCAGATGATAATGGGAAAAGTGAGATGCAGAGAATGCGTATTGGGCATAATGCCAAGCAAGCTGTTCTTTGCATTCTTGGGAGGGTCGCTGCAACCCGTGACTGCCGGACTGGTGGACTGGTACCACCAGGGTGCTGTGCCAAGGGGGAGACGTATCTTGCACCCACGCCACTTCCACCGGTACAAACTGCACAAGACTGGTAACAAAATTGGCATGCAAAAGGGTCGATCTGATCCAGTCACAGGAGCTCGGGGAAACCGTGACCTTCGACTGGGACATTTGACGCGAATGAAGTCAGCAAAAATATCAAGAACGCCCAAGGGTCGCACGAAATGACCCATGTACTGTCATCCATTCCGTCCCGCAGACTGGCCACTTCATTTATTTGGGAAAGGTAGCAGCAAGTAGGACAGGTGGGCCAGCTTGGGGATACATACATGTACTGCCCTGGCATTGCCTGGAAAGCTGGAAAGGGCGATTGCAGCAATGTACCGGTAGCAGGCAATCCGATAGACAGCCCTCGTTCCGCTTTCCGAGCAACATCAATCAAGCGGGAAACAAACTCTAGCAGCTGCTCTAGCTACAATCTTACAGCTGTCGTCATCCGAGAAATCCTGCCAGTTGACAGAGTTGTTCATGAATGGGCCTTGCTTCATTACGAACAAGTCGATTCGATTCATTCGTAGCACGATTGATAGCTACTCTGGTCAGATTCGATTGTTTCAATTAGTTACGCAAGCTAAACCTGCTAGCCAGCTAGCTAGGAGCTCAGCCACTGCCTCGGAGGATTGAGGAAACGCCCCAATCATGAAATTCGGTCACACCTCTGATGATTCTCCATCTCTCCATCAGAGAAAAGACCATCGCATGCACGCCAATGGCTACCCGTACAACGCGGCTAGCTAGCCAGCCAGATTCTTGCTTGACCATTGGCCATGGCTTTCAGCTTTTATGACAGCCAAAACAAGTCGGGGGCGGCAACTCTTTCGCTTCAGCTTTTTCTTATCTTGAGTTCGTACAGTACTCGTGACTTAAAATGTACATACCAGTACCGGTGTGACGTCAGCCTCATTTTTCTGGTACTGTAGTGCGGTACATGTACAAATGCATGTAGTGGAGCGGAACCTGTTCTGGTTGCGCACAGTGTATGGAGAGAGCACAATAAGCATTTGAGAGCATTGACAATGCGCAGCCGTGTTACCCCTCAAGTCGGTTTGTTAGTGGAGATCTGCAAGAAGGATCTTTGTCGTGGCTCTCGCCGTTGGCTCCATCGAAATGCACTCCTTCCAAGCAGACACCTTCCAAGCAGACACCTTCGAAGAAACGCTGTGCGTCCGCTGTCATCGGCACAAGGTAGACCAACCAACCTTGTAGGTGACAGTGGAGACCAAGATAATGATAAGAGTGCTGATCTACGACCCATCACGTCGTTTGTCAAGAAGCAAATGGAGCAAGGAAAGCTACGGCAGGACAGAGAGCAGTTGGATTTGGCACGAAAACTGGATGACTTGCGCACTGCCGTGGCCAAAACGGATAGTCGAGTGATCCCAGATCATCAGCTGGTTGTGGACATGTTTTGGGATGCTAAACCCAAAGGGTTGCTTGCAAGAGCTCAAAAGCTGATTCAGAGCCAGATTTGGTTTTCGCGGACGAGAGAATCGCCCAAAGGTGTCTATATCCATGGCTCTGTCGGCGTTGGAAAATCATTCTTGATGGATCTATTGGCTAGTGAGCTAATGCGCGACAACCATGAGAATGGAATTTGTTGTCAACGACGAAAGATCCGTAGATCACATTTCCACGAGTTCATGTTGGATGTCCATGATCGCATTCACAAACACAAACAAAAGCGACCCAAGGAAGATCCTCTGCCCTCTGTGGCCCTGTCGTTGGCTAAAGAAGCCAGGATATTGTGTTTGGATGAATTTCAAGTCACGGATATTGCCGATGCTATGATTCTCCAAAGACTCTTTGGAATGCTGTGGATGGAAGAACAACTGGATCTCTTTGAAAGAAAAGATATTGGCATGGTGGTCGTCGCCACCTCCAATCGGGCTCCTGAAGCTCTCTACGAGGGTGGATTGAACCGTGCTCCATTTCTGCCGTTTATTGAAACTCTCAAACGGCACATGGATGTGGTGGAAATGCACGGCAGCAACGATTATCGACGCGACAACAATAATCACCAAACCAATGATACTCAACAATCATACTTTTGGCCTGCTACAAGCTCGGAGACTCGTCAAGCACTGCAAGATGTCTTTGCTGCCGCCGCAGACAGTCACGATGGAATAGTACGAGTACACGATGAAGATATCACCCTTCCCGTTCGAATGGGTCGTCACGTTCGCGTCCCCAAATCCAACAATGTCTGTGCCTGGTTTGACTTTGAGGATTTGTGCGGGGCGCCCTTGGGTGCGGCGGACTACTTGGCCATTTGTGAACGATTCCCCGTCTTGATTGTGGACCACGTACCGCAACTCAACGCGTCTCGATTCAACGAGGCCCGTCGGTTCGTAACTTTAGTCGATGCAATCTACGAAAGCAGGACTCGGCTGATCCTGGCTGCCCAAGTTCCTTTGGAGGATCTCTTGTTGCACTTTGATGCCACGGTGGAATCCAACGATGGAGACGAAGAAATTGCCGTGGCGGGGGTTGGTCAAAACGCAACCTCGACGGTGGAGGAGGAGCAAATAATGTTTGTCAAGGGACAAGGTGGCAGCTCCAGCTCCGCGTCGACGACTTATTTGAGAAGCAAAGAAGGAGAAATGGTGGAATGGTCCGCTACTGGAAGGATTGGAGTGTCGCTGGCACAACTCTCCGCGGTCAGGGATGTTTCATTTTCGTTCCTTCGAGCCGAAAGCAGACTCGTTGAGATGAACAATGGGAGATGGGGAAGATCCTAGTGAGTCATCAGCGCCTTCGCTTTCCCTTCATCCTGGAGGGTGTGAAAGGAATCGAATCGAATAATCCTTGTCATAGTAGAAAGAGTTTTGGACAAGAATGTACCGGTACCGCACGGAGCGGCCTGTGTATCGGTAGATACAGATCGTAGCTCGTGATCCTCGTGATGTCCATTGTGGAGATTCGGTATATCATACGAGATCTGTTCTGCTTGATCAGCAGCTCATCAGCAGATTTACGTACCGGTAGGCAGCAGCTCATCAGCCATCAGTGCATAATATGTAGGCGCGACTATCTTATCAGAGAATGAACAATGGATCCAAGCATTCCAAGCCAGGCTTACAAAAGTTCCTTAGATCCTTACCTTCCACTGGTCTTCCCTGTGCAGTCTCCCGATTGGTTTGGAACGACTGGTTGTCGAGTGCCTTAAAGCCGTGGGCACCTTTGCTTTGCACAAAGTTTTCGCCATGAGAAAGATTTAACACCAAAATGGATTTCAAAGCACCCAAGCAGGAAAATGGAAAATGGGTTTAGAAGTGAGAGCGGGCGGCGGGAAGTTACGGCCCGAGCAACAACGGTGGGGACTGGCCGTTCCTACTGTGAGGTGTGCTTGGAGCTTGGAGAGAAGACAACATCAGCACAATCATCTGGAAGCCACTACCGTACCAGTACCAGGCGATAAAGGTATCATACTTCCTTATCCTGTCTATGATAGCCTGAGATGACTGACCCTGAATGCTCCACGAAGAAGAAGAAGCTCGACTTTGATCGGCTGGGTCACTACCACGAGAAGGAACTGCACCAACTGGAAGTGTTATGCCGTCGGCGTCAACAGCTGCCTGCATCTACTGGTGGTGGCGCTGCCCATCCGAGCGGCGAGTTCCTGTTCACAACCACAAGCGTGATCGTTGAAGCAGAGAGTGGCACTGGGAAAAGTGCGCTTTTGGATGCCCTGTGCAGCGAGTTGGAGAAGGGCGGGGTGCCGGACAACCATTGTTTTCGCACGGTCACAACCAGCGCGTGTTTTTACTGCCGAGGCAAGTTCGAAGAACGAGCAGCTGCATCAGAACCCTTTGCCGCCATTCGGGACGCCATGGGTGGGCTCTTTGAGGGTATTATAAGCCGGAATGCTGCTTTTGATGCCACTTGCATCCGACAAACTTTGGGGCCTGACCTGGGGATTCTCATGGCGGTGTTTCCAAATCTAAAGACAGTGTTGGGAGTACCTGACAACACTACTACGTCTGTTGTGGATGATAAGGATGATGGCAATCTTGCCACATTGGATGGATTTGGCAACATGACACAAATGGAGTGGAGATTTGAACGTCTACGCTTTGCCTTTCGTGCACTGATACGGCATGCCCAACAATATGGGAACGTGGTGCTACTGCTCGACGATCTACATAATGCAGACCTGGACAGTATGGAGCTGATCAAGACCCTCATTCTTGATTCCATCACGTTTTGCCAAGCAAACGGATGCTTCACCTTTGTGGGGACATCCCGACCACTCGAGGGGTATCGGCACCCGAGACAGCTGGTGGAAGATGTTCCCGATGATGCACTCACTGTGATGGGTGTCTGGAAGCTGTCTACCGAGTGCATTGCGACAATCTGCAACACATTGATGGACGGACCAGGCATGTCTAACAATTCGCCTTCCCAGGAGACGATGGAACTTGCGGGGTGCTTACGAGAAAAGTCAGGGGGCAATGCGTTTGTGCTTCTCCAGCATCTGCGGCGTTTGGAACAGCAAGAGTTGATATATCATGCCATGGACGAAGGAAATATACACGAACAACAATGGAAGTGGATTATTGACAGAATACAGGAGGATGTCAGTAAGAATGAAAATGTCAATGAAATCGTGGCGAATGGCATCGAAACGCTGAACACACAGACCAAGTCAGCATTGATTGTGGCGGCATCCTTTGGCGTGTCGCACTTTGATTTGGCCACCATCATTCATGCCATTCCCGTCGTGGCTTCATCATGTTTGAATCAGGGTGAAGCCAAAGTGGAGATGCCGTTAGCAGATGAGTTTGACAGCAGTGATCCGTACGTGGTTCGACAATCCATGAAACTCTTTGGCGTTGAGCTCTCAAAGGCTGTCGAGCTTGGGTATATTATCGAGCTGTCTCCTCCAGGTCGCTTCCAGTGGGTTCATGATAGAGTTCGAGAAGCAGCGTACTCTCTCATACCAGAGGGGCGCGTGAGGCAAGAAATGCATCTTGAGATTGGTCGCCAGCTTCGATCTTTTATGGATATCCAAGGAGAGCTTGGGGCAACCTCCGGCTTTTCAGAGGAAGAACTCTTGCTTCATTGCATGAAACAGCTGAACGCTGGTAAGACCTTCATGACGGACAACTGGGAACTCCTGGACTTGGCCGACCTGAGTTTCCAGGCTGCGGAACATGCTGCACAGCAACTCTCCTTCTCCTCGGCTATGGAATACTTGCAGCTTGGCATTGACTGTCTACCACCTGATTCCTGGAGAGATCACTATGATCTCACACTCAAACTCCATGTGGCTCTCATGAGAATGCAATACTCGTTGACACGTCTTGAGGATTGCGTGGAATCCGCTGAAGATATTCTGGAGCATGCACGTGTCTTCAAAGAAAAGCGAGCAGCGTATCACACCATTCTCCTGTCCAGGTTGCAACAACAGCGATTTGGCCAGGGCATCAATTTTGGTCTCTCGGTTTTGGATAAGGAGTTGGGTATCAAGATTCCTCAACGGTGCATCCTGCCCCGCGCCATTGTCGGCTACTTCAAATGCGCCCGGCGCTTCAAGACCATGTCAGACAAAGAGATTATGAGCATGCCTATGACTGAGGATGAACGCACCCAGGATGCCTCTGAGCTCTTTATGCGGATCTTTGAGTTGTCTTTTAACGGCGACGACGACTTTGCGGCATATGGAATCTTCCTGGGGGTAAAGATGATTGAGTACCTTTTCCAGGACGGTCCTGGACCAGTCACCTTTGTCGCCTTGGTTGCGTTTGCACAAATAGCTGTCTTCCTTGATGACTTCGAGACTTCCGAGCGGTCCCACATGCTTGGTTTGGCTTTTCTTGAGCGCGGAAGAAAGCTCTACCCGAGCCTGGCTGCGAGATGGGAACTGTTGCACGGCGTCTCAGCGCCACTGGGAAGCCATCCTGTCCAAGATACTGTCGAGTCAATGAGGAGAGCCATGGCAGATATGAAGGAACTGGGTGCATTGGACTATATCTTTATGGATAGCATGGAGTATCTGAGACGATGCTTTGTTGCTGGTAAACCCTTGGGTTGGGTAGCACAGCAGTGTGAGAAGCATTGTGAGCTTCTCAAAGACTACAAGCAGAACTTGCAATGGATCAACAACGCTCCATTACACCAGGCCGTACAAAATCTCCGGCTGAAAGATGTGGACGACAACGTGACAGAACTGGCCGGGGAGCACCTGAACAAAGCAGATGTGCCCCTTGATAGCAGTCCCATGGCGCTCTACCATTACCACTTTTACACAATGGTGCTTTGTTACCACTTCAATGACTACCACTCTGCCAAGACTATGATCAAGCGTTTGCCCAAGGACATTTGGATGTCAGGAGTGGCATTTTTTGTCCCTACACGTATTCTTTATACGGGCTTGGTCTATACCGGCCTCTGTCGGACATCGCAACGCCAACGATTCAAGTACCGCTCTCGAGCTCAATCTGCCATGAAACATCTTCGTGGTTGGGCAAGCAAGGGTGTCCTCAGCTGCGAGTATATGTCATACTTGCTGCAGGCAGAACTGTTGGCCTGCCCCGTAGTTGGCAAGGTCAATTTCTCGAATGTCCTCGGCCTTTACGACAAGGCCATCGCTTCCGTCACAGAACTTGGCATCCTCCATCACATTGCTCTTGCCAATGAGCTCGTGGGCATGTTTGCCTGGAAGCACGGAGGAGGAGGATCAGGACTCGCTGGCAGCTACATGTTGGAAGCACAACGTTACTATGCCGAGTGGGGATCTCGAGCCAAAGTTCAAGACGTGCAGAATCGTTTTGGTGACGTTTTGAATATGAAAGGCAAACAGTCTCAACTACCATCCTCATTGGTTCGTTCGGTGGGAACGACCGTGACTGTCACTCAGGATGAGCCTTCCTCGACGAGCTCGATACGAATTCAATAGTTCATTGACCTGACGGTGCACCACCAATGGCAAGACGTACCGGCACGTACTATATACATAGAGTACACGTTTCTCTAGCTACGAGTAGGTTGCTTGTTCGTGAAGTCTCCCCAATTCTTCGGTGTGGTAAACAGAGGCAGTCATTCGTGAGTGTAGAATGGGATTCGATTCCAGATTCGATTCCAGAGCTCTGTTTCAATGCAGAACAAGCCTAATCATTCTACCTTCGAAGGAAGATTGGACAGCCCTTGTCGTCAATACTTGACCATGCATCATCCCCGGTCCCTGTTTTTTGCACTTTTTGACCCGTGCTTTTTTGCAGGGCCCTGGTTTGGCAATTGGGTGCGGTACCCATACTGTGGTGTAGGTGGATGCATGGATTCCAGCACGAGAGCAACGAAGGAATGACAACCTTTAGTGCACGCACCTTGGCGGCTTCACCTCTAAGGTACTGTCTGTCCCACTGGTGGCAAACATCTATCTGCACCTCTATGGTGTGCACCTTGGATGCACCTCCAGGGCCCGCACCTCAGCGGCAAACATCTGCACCTCTAGAACATCTGCACCTCTACAGTACTAGGGTGCGCACCTCGGTGGCGAAATCTGCTCATATGGGGCCGCCTGTGTTGTTGGCCATTGGGAGTTGTGGTCGCAGGGTTACTCACGAAAAAGTCTCTTTTCGGAAAGCTAGTGTTCTTGAGACATTCGAGAATTAGAGAATTATATGCAGTAATTTAAATAATGAGACATTGTAAGATTCGTGAGACATGAGACATAAATATGAGACATTGTGAGATGGATTGACTTAAAGATAAGACAGACACTTTCTTGTGATGACCCACAAAAGCTTTTTAAATAAATGAGACATGAGACAGAAGGCTTCTCGAACAATGAGACATTGTGAGACATTGGAGACATGAGACATAAACATTAGACATTGTACCACAAAATGAGACATTGTGAGACTTAGAGAATAATTTTATATCCATGTCTCACTATTTATTAATCCAAATTTTGGGGAACTCTGACAAATCCGCGGGTAACCCAGGTCGCAGGGATACCCCACGAAGAAAAAGACGAACGAAGGACTGACGACCGGAACATGGATTTTGCGAAAATGACATCAATTGAGAACCCGCCACAACCGCGATGATAGAACATGCAGGATGCAGGAGTGATATGCGGTAGCACCGTCTACCTACCAACACTAAAGAGAGGCTTGATCTAAGTACCCGTAATAGCTATTGACTCTATCTGATGCTCAAGGCTCAAAATGCTGGAAAAAGTAAAAATTGAGTACGATGAAGAAAGAATCTGGTGAGACGATGGAGGCACCCAATCTCGTGGACGAGAGTTCTCAAGATCCTTCCGCGCCTCCCTCAGTGGCAGAGGAGATTGGAACACAGTCGTCGGAAGACGACAACTGGTCTCCTACATCGATAGTATCAAGTGGAGCGTCTCATGATTCCGTCAAGAATCTCCCTGCTACCGTTGGAGTTCTGAATGATACTGCAGCTACCGATTACCGAAAATCCTCCAACAATAGTGGCAAGGCTTCCACTGCGACAAAGAAAGGTAGGGAGACATGTACCACAGACGGTGTACCCAGCTCCAAATTGGCAAGAGCTGTGGATGCGGCCAAAGCAGACGGTGCATCCGATGGTAGTGGTAGCCTCAATGATTTGACGCGAGAAGAGCGATCCTTGTTGGCCCGACAATTGCAGCAACAGCCACAGGAACTCATTGGGGCTTTTGGTGTGGGATCGAATGGTGGTGGTGGTGTTGGTGGCAATGATATCCAGATGGTGCCTCCGGGTCGATCATATAGCCCCGAGACTTCCAGCAACAACTGTCTACCCACTGCGGCCGCCATTGCCGTGAATGAACAGGAAGAGGAACAACGGTTGCGACGAGCCGAAGAACACGGACGTCAATCCGTACTTTTGAATGCCGTCAATGCCGAAGTGGTGGCACCGCAACTCTTTACCAAACAGAATCTGCAAATGCCAAAATTTCCACCCGAAAATGAAGCCCGTTTCCAAGCCGAACACAATCATCTCTTGTTGAGTGCACTACGCCTGTTGCGGCCTCTGGCCATGGTCATGAACCTGTCCTTTTTTCTCTGGGACGTACTCCAACCGGAAGCACCCTTGTTGGCGTGTTTTCTGGTCATTTGCATTTCGCTCGTGATATTCTATGGAATCACAGTGGTGGCGGAAAGGGACCCACTCGGGCCAGTGCAGCCAGCCATGTGTTTGGCCATGTTGGTCGTTTCCATTCAGCTGTCCTTGACCATGTTCTTTGTACCCAATGGGTTTGTCGTCGCAGCGGGAGGTTGGGGTGCCATTCTGATACCAGGTTCTTGCGCGTTGAGGTTTTGGTTTGCGCTGGCTTTTTGTGGGGGCACCGTGGTGATTGGAAATGCCATGGCTCTTGCAGCTGCCAACAATACTTCCTACGAACTGTACTACGTACTCATTCATCTCAACATGTTCATGGGAACCTACTGTGTCTTTGGCATTTTCTTCAGCTATGCGGTGGAGCTCCACTTGAGGCACCGATTTCTAGACACGGGGACTGTATTCAGTTGGGCAGCAGACGAGACCAGCACTAATGTTGATCAATCTACAAGCCAGCAAGCAGCGTTGTTGTTAGAGGGAACAGCAGATGAGCAGGCGGATTTAGAGCAATAGTCAAAACAATCTATATGCGGATTATTGATTGGACTATGGTATGTCGACAATCGGCCTTCGCAATCAACTCTGATGGGGCCTTTTTTGGGTCGTTATGAAACAGTATGAAAAAAAGGTTCGCCTAGCGAACCAAACATTTTGCAAGCACACACGGTTCTTGTTGTACACCAACACTCCTGAACGGAGCATGTCAACGAACGAACTGGCATCGGGAAGAAGAGATGCAGCTATGATTGATACAGCGATGTGACTTCATCGCACCAATCAAACAATGCCTTGGCATCATCCATGTTGCTCGCTGATTGTGACGCCTTCCCGACAGCACAGTCTTTGTAGTATCCACCACTGATGAGCTCATTGGATGGCAACGAGACAGCGGTGATTGTAGTAGACGCTCCTTCTTGTGGAGATTTCACAGGCCGCCAAAACCCTTCCGTAGCGACGACAAATGGGTATTCTTTGATGAAATCAAGAACAATATCAAACATTGTCTCGTCATAAACGTGTTTCCCCATATCTGTGTAGATCATCCCTGGATGGCAAGAAGCGGTTTCCAGTTGTGGATAGCGCCTGGAAAACTCCTTGGCGATGAGTATGTCAGCAAGTTTGCCTGAACCGCCGCAAAAGAAGGTAATGTAATGTGAGTTAGCCACAAATAAGTGATGAAGGAAAAGGTCCCAAGCTACCTCGCGAGATCCTTACTTTGCTGATAGGCTGCCCAATAGTCAAACCCCTCGGCATCCTTTTCCAGGGACCAGTTCCTGTAATAGTCGACATCCAAGCGAGGGGCGTCGTCCTGCATGTTGTATTGGGGGCAAAGGTATGAGAGGACCCCAATCATCAATCCTTAAAGAAACATTCCTTCCTTCCATGTTCCAACAACAACAGTTACTTACCCAAAGGTGAGCCGTCGATGTCAGCCACACTTGCCTGCGAGTTTTCGGCAGCAGCAGCTTGGCCAACAAGAAAGGTCAACTGGGACAAGGTACCGGTATCGTAGCCTTCCGGTTCAGGACTTGGTATTGATGTTCTGATCTTTTTATGGGGACGGTGCTTGTATCTCATAATGTGCTGGCTAGTAGGAAAAAGCGAAGCGCAATTGAGAAAGCTACAATGATTCTGGCCCGTGGTACATCCGGGAGAAAGGCGCCCATGACAACGGGATCTGAAGTTGTCGACCAAAGGGAAGATGTGCTGCTCGTCTCATCAGATGGACCCAAAGTCCATAACCAAAAGATGTCATCATATTCGGTTTTGCCAGGGCTACTGTTTGCTGCCCTTTTCCTGGTACTTTTGAGCTTCACGTGTCTTTCTTCGACAACCGTGACGAAAAACCAACACCCAGAGCTCTTTTGGTTCCAGCTCGCAAACGCACAGCCTTGGAAGCGGCAAACTTGCACCCAGAGAATATCAAAGGAAAGCTATTCGTCATTACGGGAGCATATGGAGGTAAGGTTTTTGTGCCGTTCACAACCCTGTCGCTGAAGTACGTCATCTAATCATCTTTCTCTCGAAACTCTTGCCTGCCTACTACTTTAGGTATTGGAACGGAAACAACCAAGGCCATTCTCGGAGCTGGCGGAAGAGTTGTCATTGGGGGCAGATCTTCTGACAAGGTCCAGGAGTTTGTAACAGTTTGTCACTCGAATTCAACACCCAAGACCGCGTGGATGGATACGTCTTGGATCTGGCCGATCTAGAGTCGGTCCAAATGTTCGCAACGAATGTTCTGGAAACGTACAAGGATGATTCGATCCAGGGTCTCATTAACAATGCCGGAGTAGTAGCGCCTGTCGCAGCCACAAAGCAAGGCCTGGAACTACAAATGGGTGTCAATGTTGTGGGCCAT